CCATTCGCTTCTGTAGCCCCACCTTTTTGTCACTAGTGTCCCTGTGTGCTCCAGTGTCTCCAGTTATTAGTGTGTCTTTGGTGATCCCACTAACCTGTGTGTGCTCCAGTGGCCCCAGTGACTTTAGTTTGTTCAGTGTCCCCTACGCACTCCAGTTCCTCCAGTGACTCCTTTATCTCTGGTGATCTCAGTGAACCCTGTTTGCTTCTGTGGCCCCAGTTACTTCTGTGCCACCAGTGTCCCCGTGTGCTCCAGTGTCTCCAGCTATTCCTGTTTCTTTGGAGACATACAAAAATACTTAACCTTTTTATTGATTTGGAGAAAAGAATAAGAACAATGCCCATGAAACACATTAAAATCATGAAATAATAATGAAAAAATCATAAGGCTCTATGTTGTACATTTATAATGTGCAAATAATAGAATATATATATATATATTTATTTATTTTTTTCAATAATAATATGTACTCAAAGATGCATATCTTATATTTAATTTATCACGTAAACATTACACATCACAATGGCTAACTTAGTTGTTACGGTCTACAACTGCCATTCTAAACCAGGGTTCGTTGGAACCCTAGGGTGTCTCCAGCAATGAACTTGTCTTTTTGGAATTTATTGTTAAATAACTTGGATGGGGTTGAGGTATGCATGGGATACCCAAGGAACTGTAAACTCAGGACAACTTCCTGGCAACTATATACAAGTCTTTACATAGCAAAAATCTTCTGGAAGAGCTCTCCAGCCTCTCCTGGTGTACCACCCCACACCACAGATAGTCCTTCTATTTCCAGCAATCTAAGGGCTTTCCCTGGACAAAGGAATCCGGTATCTGCCGCCTTATGAGCACAGTCCAGCTGAGGCTAGTCAGCTTTCCCACTCAAATGCCGTCTCCCTTCTCTCCGGTCCAGGGACTGTAGAAGTAATCACTGTTCCTCTCCTGCAAGCTGTAAGTTGGTAGCTGCCTTCAGGCCTTCTGCTGAGCTGGCTCCTTCCTTAACTCTACAGATGGTCTTCTCTCAGGGGGCCGATGAGGTTCAGCTTTCCTCCTGTCCAGATCCCACGTGTAAGCAGGCCCCCTTCCCACTGGGCCCCCTCCCAGGCTCCACACTCACTTCCTGCTCTCACATCTTCCGCATAAACTCTCCTGACCCGGCTCAGTCACACTTAAAGGCTGCCCCAGCCCCATGCCAAGCTTCCTGTTTGGGGAATGGCCAAAGTTCTCTAAGTGTAAAGGCCAGCCCCTCCTCACCCCCCACCCACTGCTTCTAGAATCTTCTCCAAGATCCTAGAGATGGGGGAGATATCAAGGAACTGACCTGCAGAGCCTCTCAGCCCTGACCCAAATTTGACCTTGCTGATTATTTCCCCAGGCTGCTGCTCAGCCTTTCTATCTAAAAATTAGCAACTAGCTCCCCCTGGATATCTAGAGGGGAGCTACATAAGGGACATTATTACCACTGACCATCAATGTAAATAAAGGACATTGTTCCCACTAACCTCCAATGTGAGGAACATTCTTCCCCCTGACTTACCAATGTAAGGAGTATTCTTCCAACTGATCACCAATGTAAGGAACATTCTTCCCACTGATCACCAATGTAAGGGACATTCGTACCACTGATCACCAATGTAAGGGACATTCTTCCCACTGATCACCAATGTAAGGGACATTCGTCCCACTGATCACCAATGTAAGGAACATTCTTCCCCCTGACCACCAATGTAAGGAGTATTCTTCCAACTGGCCACCAGTGTAAAGGGCATTCTTCCCACTGATCACCAATGTAAGGAACATTCTTTCCCCCTGACCACCAATGTAAGGAGTATTCTTCCAACTGGCCACCAGTGTAAAGGGCATTCTTTGAACTTACCATCAATTTAAAATCTCATTGAACCCCAATGAATTAGTTTTAGCAAAGGTTACCCAAGATCTGAAAATTATGTTAGAAGTTCCTCTGTGTTAAAAAGTTTAGGAAAGGCTGGTCTATAGGATCCACTGTTCCTAATACAACCTCACATTTTTTTTGTAACAAAGATCTCTGGTATGCTGTAAAATGTATTATCACAAACAAGGCAAAGTAGTAAGACCTCACAGACTTTCCGAAAGCCACACAGGTTAGCATTTAATTGCAAATCAGTGCTGTGGAAGATGCAATGGGCTTCCCAATGCTCTCATCAATCAGCATTTTATAGGCCCGGTAAGTATTTGCTCTATGGCATCATAACACCTTATTGCGGGGATAAAGTCAATACTTACCAGACCTATGAAATGCTGATTTATACATGCAGAAGAAGGACAAGCGCATATTCCACAGTGCTATAATATCTCTCTGTGGGGATGAATGAGGTTGGATTAGAAACCATGCGTGCTATAAAATATAACATCTAATTTAGTCATTATGACTTACAATGTTTATCATGTGTCCATGGGGACATATTTTTGAAAATTGTTGTTCTGTTATTGCATATTATATGTATATATAACAGAGCCTTGATTATTTTGTGATTTTAATGTATTTTATGGGCATTGTTCGGATACCTTCTTGTCAATAAAAGTGAGGCTATGGAACAGGCATGCCTAGGCAAGCTCGCATAGAAGTAAGTGCATTACTACTTAGAAGGAATTCAAGACAAACGCTAAACCTTTCAGGGTGCTGAAAAAACAGAACTTGTACCATTATGTGTACAGAATGTACAGTTCTCTTCTGACTTACAATTATTGCTTATGGAACAAATTCTTGGAAGCTAGGACTTGGCCAAATGGTTGTTGTGTGTGCACCTGAAAGGTTCTTTTTTGCAAGCAACAATGGATGGGTAAAAGCAGAAACCCCTTCATAGAGCCCAGAGAGGGCAACTTACAAGGTTCATTTATGGCCCATTGCCCTTCTTATACTTCCCTTCCCTTCGCTACCCCTCCAGAGCCAGAATTTCCACAAGGCAACATAGGCAGTAGGGGCCCAGCTAAAATATTTCTGCTGCTGTAGTAAACCAAGGGGATAGATACCCTTTTAGACAGTTGGGGGTTGATTTACTAAAACTGGAGAGTGCAAAATCTGGTGCAGTTGTACATGGTAGCCAATCAGCTTCCAACTTCAGCTTGTTCAATTAAAGCAATACTAAAGGCTTACTTTTTTTTTCTAAAAATAACAAACATGTCTATACTTACCTGCTCTGTGCAGTGGTTTTGCACAGAGCAGCCTGGATCCTCTTCTTCTCGGGTCTCCCGCTGGCTCTCCTGGCCCCTCCCTCCTGTCGAATGCCCCCACATCAAGCAGCTTGCTATGAGGGCACCCACTGCCCTGTGTGTCCATTCACACACGGTGCCATGGTTCGGCCCCACCCCCCTCTCTTTTCTCATTGACTCACTCGCTGTGATTGATAGCAGCGGGAGCCAATGGGTCCCACTGCTGTCTTAGCCAATGAGGAGAGGAAGTTCCACGGTAGGTGAGACTCCAGTGCACATTGCTGGATTAAAAGGGGGCTTAGGTGAGTATTATTGGGAGCTGGGTGGGGGGCTGCCACCTTAAGCCTTTACAACCACTTTAAGACTTTGCAAAAAAAACTGGAAGCTGATTGGGTTCAGTGCAGATCTGCACAAGATTTTGCACTCTCCAGTTTTTAGTAAATCAACCCCTTGATGTCTGATGGGGCCATGCTAGTAAAGTGCCCTACAGAGTGGCCCCCTCCACACCACACAGAGAACAAACATATAATACCTTATTGTGAATGCATAGTAATCCTGCCAGTCCTAGCCCCCAACAATTACATAAAAGTCCCAGTTCAGCAGCAGAAGCCAGAGATAGAGAGGGGACCTGTCAGGAATGGACTCGCCAATGGTGGTGGGACTCACCTGCCTTGTGGGCTGCAGTACCAGGGCTGGCCAGCGGGTGCTCTCAGCAACCAGAAGCTCACTCCTGCAATCAGCCATCACCTGTGTATTTAAGGAATGGCCAGACCTGCAGTCAGTGCCTTGGTGTTTGTTTCCCATGTGCCCTGTTTTCTGTATCCTGTCTCCTGACTGCTCGACTCTCCTGCTTGACTCTGACTCTGATAGAACTCCGCCTGCACTGACCCCGGCTATTCCTGACCATTATTCTGCCTGCTCCCGTTGTACCTTTCTGCCTGATTGTTCCTGACTCGGCCTGCCTGACCACTCCACCTCTCCAGCCCTGACTGCACCTGTACCTATTAGTTTAAGGTTTGTTTTGCACTGTGTTTGCTTATTTTGTGCAGCTCATAATAAATATTATTATTATTTAATCATTTCTGAAGCCTGCTGTTTCCCTGTGTCAGTCCACACATCTTTGGTCATACCCGGATCCTTGACAGGACCACTTACTCATTTTCAGTAATAGGTGAAGTAATCCTCCAAAATTAAATTACAGTTTTAGCCTGATCTAGCCATTTGATATAGAGACAGAGGCTGGAACTTTAATTTTAAGTAGGGGGGATTTGTAGCATGGTGGTTTACTCCTTTTGCTCCCGAAAATGGGTAAATAGTTTATTCTCTGTCCCAGTCCCTGCCGCTGATCTGATGAGGCCCATTCAACTTTTTTTTAATTGCTGGGAGCCATGATCCATGAAATTACTGTGCAAGTGCCCAAAGGTATTTAAATAGTCCCCTCTTGGTCCCCCTGAGGAACTAATGACCAGTACAGGAGGGGCCAGTTCTACCCACTTATCGGCAGCCCTAGCAATCTGCATAAGCATCAGGAAGTTTGAGGGTAAAGCTGCTCCCTTGCCTAATTTTGCCATAACCTGTCTCTATTGTCCCACCACAACATTCCATCTCCAGAGTGATGTGACCAGGGGCGGACTGACAACTCATGGGGCCCCCGGGCAATAGAGGATCATGGGGCCCCTGTGTCCTTACCCACACTCAAAAAAGCCTATAAAAAAGGTACCAGGGGCATTTCATGGGGCCCCCTACTGACCCCGGGCCCTCAGGCAGTGTCCGAGTGCTCGAATGGTCAGTCCGCCCCTGGATGTGACATAATCCCAGTATGGCAGAGCATGTGACTTTTTCCTCTTTCTTCCATGATGCAGTGCTGCTTGCACAGCAACCAATAACTGGTCCTCAGCCCCATGTATTTTCCAACTTGGAGCTTGCATAAAGCTTTTGTCTTCATTTGTGCGCAAATGGAGAACTGGGAAAAGGGGAGGGGGACAATGAATTGAACCTGAAACAAAGACAATGTTCACTTCAAGCTGCAAAACAATAAAAAACCCTATGCTTACAATTCAATGCTCTTACCCAATGCATCTCCCCTCTCAAAAAATAAATAATGAATCAATTATACTCAGTATTCGGCACTGTGTGTCATGCGTTCACAGATTACTCCTGTCACATCTCATCAGGTGGTACCTGTAATGAACGTTAGCGTAGAGAATAAGGAGAGATTACGAGTAATGGGCTTTGATTTTCTACTACCGTTGGATTCTGATCTCAGTAAAATGTATAATAATGAGGAAATGGATAATAATAATACTTATGCAATAAGGTAACGTAAAGGCTTATCTTATCAAGCAGGTGAACACGTCAGCCTACAATTTCACTCATGCTGATTGTCTGGCATTAGATGCTATTCACACCATCATCTGTGCTTTATAGAGTTCACCTTGGATAAAATGTAATCGTGTAAAAATGTAGATGTTATGGAAAATTATTGTGTAGCTACCAGAGGGTGGTGGGGTTTCCCTGTTTCCTATGTGGACATAGAGTGGCAACAAAGGTTGGCTTTCTCAAGTCATATGGCCATGGCATGGAGGTCATTTAAAGGTGCATATGTGAGACCCAAAACCTGAATTGGATGACATATCGAAAAGAAGTGTGACATGGACTTCATTTAAAGTGGATGAATGGTAAGACTCACAAGCTAAAGGAGCAGAAGAGCCTAGTAACCAGGTGGCAGTTCTTGGACAGACATAATAATTGTGTAGCTACCTGGGGTGGTAGGGTTTCCCCATTTCCTATTTGGGCACGGAGGGGCAACAAAGGTGGACTTCTCCAGCATAGGAGAGTCCTGATTGGATGAAATATCTAAAAGGAGCGGTACATGGATGATATATATACACTATATTGCCAAACGTATTGGGACACCCCTCCAAATCATTGAATTCAGGTGTTCCAATCACCTCTATGGCCATAAGTGTATAAAATCAAGCACCTAGGCATGCAGACTGCTTCCACAAACATTTGTGAAAGAATGGGTCACTCTCAGGAGCTCACTGAATTCAAGCGTGGTCCCGTGATAGGTTGCCACCTGTGGAATATGTCCATCCGTGATATTTCCTTGCCACTAAATATTCCACGGTCAACTGTTAGTGGTATTATAAAAAGTGGAAGCAACAGGGAACAACAGCAACTCAGCCACCAAGTGGTAGGCCACCTAAAATGACAGAGTGGGGTCAGCACATGCTGAAGCGCACAGTGCACAGAAGTCGCCAACTGTCTGCAGAGTCAATAGCTAAAAACCTCCAAACTTCTTGTGGCCTTCAGATTAGCACAACAACAGTGAGTAGAGATCTTCATGGAATGGTTCTCCATGGCTGAGCAGCTGCATCCAAGCCTTACATCACCAAGTGCAATACAAATCGTCAGATGCAGTGGTTTAAAGCACGCCACCACTGGACTCTAAAGCAATGGAGACGTGTTCTCTGGAGTGATGAATCAGGCTTCTCTGTCTGGCTTTCCAATGGACATGTCTGGGTTTGGTGGTTGCCAGGAGAATGGTACTTGCCTGACTGTATTGTGCCAAGTGTAATGTTTGGTGGAGGGGGGATTATGGTGTGGGGTTGTTTTTCAGGGGTTGGGCTTGGCCCCCTAGTTCCAGTGAAGGGAACTCTTAAGGCGTCAGCATACCAAGACATTTTGGACAATTTCATGCTCCCAACTTTGTGGGAAGAGTTTGGGGATGACCCCTTCCTGTTCCAACATGACTGAGCACCAGTGCACAAAGCAAGGTCCATAAAGACATGGATGAGCCAGTTTGGGGTGGAGGAACTTGACTGACCTGCACTGAGTCCTGACCTCAACACCATAGAACACCTTTGGGATGAATTAGACTGTGAAAGAGACTGGGAGCCAGGCCTTCTCATCCAGCATCAGTGCCTGACCTCACAAATGCTCTTCTGGAAGAATGGTCAAACCTTCCCATTGACACCCTCCTAAACCTTGTGGACGGCCTTCCCAGAAGTGTTGAAGCTGTTATAGCTGCAAAGGGCGGGGTCAACTTAATATTGAACCCTATGGACCAAGACTGGGATGCCATTAAAGTTCATGTGCGTGCAAAGGCAGGCGACCCAGTACTTTTAGTAATATAGTGTATGATAAAGCATGTGGCTCTTCACCTCAGATCCAACAATTTGTGCCAAGTATCAATTATTTCCTAAAAACACAGACACTGTGATAATATAGTATCATATACACCATAAAACAAACATGCACTATATAGTCATGTATTTATTATTATTTATTATTATTTTTAATATTAATATTATTTATAAAAATAAAAACTCAGATTTGAAGTAATGTTCCAATGGGTGCCATATAAGGTGGATTGTTTTTATTTATAATAAAGGAGGCAATACTCAGTGGTTTATAACTAATATTAAATAGTGAAGAAAATTTGAACCACACTAGCATTCCATGCTGGCTAGGGACACCACATATTAAACACCAGAAACAAACTCCCAAGCAGGGGCGGACTGACCATTCGAGCACTCGGGCACTGCCCGAGGGCCGGGGGGGGGGGGTCAGTAGGGGGCCCTATGAAATGCCCCTGGTACCTTTTTTATAGGTTTTTTTGGGTGTGCTTTAAGTGTGGGCAAGGTCACAGGGCCCCATGATCCCCTAATGCCCGGGGGCCCCGTGAGTTGTTAGTCCGCCCCTGCTCCCAACCAAACAATTTGAGCCAAATTGAATAATGATATAATATTATAACAAAAATGCAAACCTAACCTTTAAAAAAAAACATTAAAAATCAACAGTTTCAATTAAATACCATACCCTCATACAATATATCAATTGAATCTGTAGAGATAAATATAAATGCATGATATGAAATTATTCATTCCTTCACATAACAATAATGCATCCAGGTAAATGTTCAAGAGAGAGCACCTAACGCAGGAGAAACCTGGTCCCCGAAGGAAAGAAATTATAAAAAATATGAAAAAATGATTATTATTATTATTACATCGAGTTTATATAGAGCCAAAGGGTTTGCTCAGCGCTGTACAATAGAGGGGGGGACAATACATGAAACAGTACAGCAACAACAAACAGCACAAGAGGAGTTCGAGGGCCCTACTCTTTCGAGCTTACAATCTAGGAGGGAGGGGGGTAGTGGTACAGGAGGAAGTGGCTGTGGGGGATGGAGTGGTAGGAGGAATGAAGGAGAACGGCTGTTAGGTGAGGGTGGGGTAGGCTTCCCTGAAGAGGTGGGTTTTGAGGGAGCGCCTGAAGGTGAGGAGGGAAGGTGACAGTCTGATGGATTGGGGTAGTGAGTTCCAGAGGATGGGGGAGGACCTGGGGAAGTCTTGCAGTCATGCGTGGGAGGAGGAGACCAGGGAGCAAGATAGAAGGAGGTCCTGTGAGGAGCGAAGGGTACGGGTAGGGTGGTACTTGGGAATCAGGTTGGTGAGGTAGTTAGAGGCAGTGTTGTGAACGGCTTTGTAGGTCAGGGTTAGTTAGTTTGAATTTGATGCGTTGGGCAACCGGGAGCCAGTGGAGGGAGAGGCAGAGGGGGGTGGCAGAGGTGGAGTGGTTGGTGAGGTGGATGAGTCTAGCCGCTGAGTTCAGGATTGTCTGAAGCGGGGAGAGTTTGCACTGGGGTAGGCCGGTGAGGAGGGAGTTGCAGTAGTCAAGGCGTGAGATAATCAGGGAGTGTAAGAGTAGTTTAGTGGTGTCTGGGGTAAGGAAGGAGCGTATCTGGGCGATGTTGCGGAGGTGGAGCCTACATGTGTTTGTAAGTGATTTGACATGAGGTTGGAAGGAAAGGTTTGAGTCCAGAATGACGCTAAGGACTTTGGCTTGCGGGGCGGGATTGATGGTGGTGTTGTTGGTAGTGATGGATAGGATGAGGGGGGGCGTGGGCAGGGGGAAAGACAAGGAGCTTGGTTTTGGAGAGGTTGAGGAAATGGAGCGACATCCAGTCAGAGATGTCGTTTAGGAGGTGAGTGATGCGGGCGGAGACTGTGGGGGTGAGGTAAGGGGTGGAGAGGTAAATTTGAGTGTCATCAGCGTAGAGGTGATAGTTGAAGCCGTGGGAGTATATGAGTTTGCCAAGGGAGGAGGTGTAGATGGAGAAGAGAAGGGGTCCAAGGACAGAGCCTTGGGGGACCGATAAATGATAAAGAAATAAATTATAAAAAAATACAAATATTTTACGAAGTGCAAATATACCAATACAAAAGACGTAAAATAAATACTTCTAAAACACATATAGTAACAAACATCCTGCATATTTCATTTCATGTTAGAATAAGTAAAAAAACATTCAAATATATCGCAAGATATTGTATGTACACAAGTTCAATATAATCCCAGAATCCAAATGTACTGTATAAAGGAGTACTTACCCAAGCAAAAAATGATTTATACTGAAAAAAAGCTGAAACAATTAACCAATAACACTCTATAAGGAAAAAACAATAATTTCATAATTATAAAAAGATAAAGGAGGTGATTGATGGGAACCCAGGGAATCCATATTCAAAAGGATAATGTGAAAAAAAACATCTAATTTAGAGGATATCTAAAATTAAGGCTCCACGCATATTGTGTGGTTTAATTTAATTATGATTAACAAGTAATTATTATTAATTAGCTTTGTGAAAGTTAATGGCAGTCAGCAGTGAAAAGGCTGCTTGATTGCTCTTGTTTGTAGCAGAACATGTTTTAACCAGTTTGTCACCCAATTAGCAACACAGGCTAACTATTGATTTACATGGAGCAGTGTCCATTCGCATCGAACTTACTTGTGATAAGGAAAACAACAACAACCTTTGCTCACGGTGAAGGTTTTCAAAATGCTATCTAGAAGAAGAGAAGAGTTACAAAGTAAAACTAAAGATCAGGAAGTAGAGCATGGAGGTTAGACTTATGCCGGCCATACATGGGTCTAAATTCAACCGATTTTTCATCCAAAATTCGGACCTAAGAATAATCAGCCGATTTTTTCTCTGTTAGTTGGTCAATAAGCACCGGACGATTTTTGTGGTTCCTCCCCTTTTTGGTGATCGGGCATGTTGGAAAATTCGTGAAAAACTACCGATTTTGACTTAATGATGGTCAAATAGTACGATCATTTTTCCGAAAAAGAATATGCGCATGAGCCGTGACCTGGAAGGAACAGAAGTTTCACCTGTTATATGGGGTGAACTTTATGACTTGGTCGGCTGATTTTCGAAATCATTGATGGCACCATCGGAATGACGTTTTTCAATTTTCGGATGAAAAATTCGACCCATGTATGGCTTGCATTAGTCAGTACTAAGGTCTAGTGTTGTTTCACAAAAGGGAGGATTGTAATTTCAATTGCCTAATAGAACATCCAAAGCAAAACGTTTGCATATTAACACATGAACTAAGGGATCTGAACAAGATCAACATTAATAAGAACAAGAGACATTCATTTCTGTTATTTTGGAACATCTCATCAGCTTGAATGCGACCTAGACTCTCACTGTAGAGTATTGGGAGACTCTTTCTACAGACTGCACAGCACCTTTCAAGAACATTGTTTAGCAAACAAAAGACATCCTATCAAGCACACCTGTTATTAAAAACTGCTCCAAAAAATGAAAGGAACACTTTGAAAACACATCAGATCTCAATGGGGAAAATCTCATGCTGGATATCTATACTGATATGGACGGGGTAATGTGTTAGGAATGTAAGGATGCCCCAAATGAAACTAATCGACCTACAAAGAACTGAATTCAAAGACACCCCGAAAATAATGCAGCAGGCGAGTCCATTTTGCTGAAATGTCATTGCAGCAACTCAGAATGGTCCTCAGTAGTTTGTATGGCCCCACGTGCTTGTATGCATGCCTGTCAAAGTTGAGGCATGCTCCTAATGAGACGACGGATGGTGTCCTGGGGTATTGACTCCCAGATCTGGACCAGGGCATCACTGAGCTCCTGGACAGTCTGAGGTACAAACTGGCGGCGTCGGATGGACCGAAACATGATATCCCAGAGGTGTTCTATTGGATTTAGGTCAGGCAAGCATGGGGGCCATTCAATGGTATCAGTTCTCTCCCCACTTGAGGCCAGGCATTGTTGTGCACCAGGAGGAACCCAGGACTCACTGCACCAGGAGGAACCCAGGACCCACTGCACCAGAAGGAACCCAGGACCCACTGCACCAGTGTAGGGTCTGACAATGGGTCCAAGGATTTCATCCCGATACCTAATGGCAGTCAGGGTGCCATTGTCTAGCCTGTAGAGGTCTGTGTGTCCCTCCATGGATATGCCTCCCTAGACCATCACTGACCCACCACCAAAACGGTCATGCTGAACAATGTTACAGGCAGCATAAAGTTCTCCACAGCTTCATGACCCTTTCATGTCTGTCACATGTGCTCAGGGTGAACCTGCTCTCATCTGTGAAAAGCACAGGGAGCCAATGATGGACTTGTCACTTCTGGTGTTCAATGGCAAAGGCCAATCAAGCTCTATGGTGCCAGGCAGTGAGCACAGGGCCCACTAAAGGATATTGGGCCCTCAGGTCACCCTCATGAAGTCTGTTTCTGATTGTTTGGTCAGAGACATTCACACCAGTGGCCTGCTGGAGGTCATTTTGTATAGCTCTGGCATTGCTCATCCTGTTCCTCCTTCCACAAAGGAGCAGATACCGGTCCTGCTGGTGGGTTAAGGACCTTCTACAGCCCTGTCCAGCTCTCCTAGAGTAACTACTGATCTCCTGGAATCTCCTTCATGCTCTTAAGACTGTGCTGGGAGACACAGCAAACCTTCTGGAAATGGCATGTATTGATGTGCCATCCTGCGGGAGTTGGACTGCCTGTGCAACCTCTGTAGGGTCCAGGTATGGCCTCATGGTACCAGTAGTGATACTGACCCTAGCCAAATGCAAAAACTAGTGAAAAACAGTCAGAAAAGATGAGTTTGGAAAAAAATGTCAGTGGCTTCCACCTGTAAAACCATTCCTGTTTTGGAGGTTGTCTCATTGTTGCCCATCTAGTGCACCTGTTGTTCATTTCATTAACACCAAAGCAGCTGAAACTGATTACCAACCCCCTCTGCTACTTAACTGACCAGATCAATATCCCAGGAGTTTCATTGACTTGATGCTAGACTCTGATTAAAAAGTGTTCCTTTAATTTTTTTGAGCAGTGTGGAAAGAACCTAACATTAGAATATAAGCACCTAAATATGTCATCTAATTATTAGTAAAGCATATAATAAATATTTTTCTTTATCACAGTTAAAATACAAATTAATGAAAAGGAAGTCATTAATGAAGGATGCTGATAGACTGCTCCTGCTTGCAGCAGATCATTTTTTAACTAGTGTGCTGCCGCATTTGCAAAACAAACTAGTGTTTCATGACCTGTATTATCTGCTGGGTGGTACTGTGATTCCTGGAGCCGGAGGTTGTGGTTCCACCAGCAGGTGTCACTCAGCGGCCAGCAAATTCCAGTAATCACTCTTCATCCAATGCTAGCTGCTGGGAGGGTATTTAGTCCCACCTCTATTACTACACTTTGCTTCAGTGTTTTGCTTTGCTAGCAAAATACTTGCATTGTTTCTGCTCCTGCTCTTGATCTTGCCCTTGCCCTGCTTCCTGTAGCCCGTACCCTTCTGTCTTATATCTTCTCCCTTGTTCCTGATCCCAGTCCTGGTTCCCCCCCCTCCTTACACCTCCAGTTTTCCATCTTTTTTCTGTGTTCCTCATTATGTATATAGTTTGTTATACATTTCGTCACAGGGGCGGACTGACAACTCAT